GGGGGGGGGGGGGGGGGTAGAGGCGAGAGTGGGCAAAAATTCGTTGATTTTCATTCGATTATGTATTGAATAATAAGAAACGACGGTCACACAGCTCAGTAGATAACAAATGGATTCTCGCGATAATTGACACTTCGTCTCGAACGTCTCTTCCAGTTTGTCTCGCTGTTTGTAATTGTCACCGGGCCGGACGATCGTTATCACTGCTGTTACAATTGAGTCGATCAGAACGGTGATACAACGCGACGCTCCAGACAGACCTCAATTCAGTTTTCCACTTCGGCCTGCCGGATAATCAATTGTCTAGCCCTGCCTACCCGGTCTGGCGACTTATCTCCTGATTGTCCGTGCGACAATAGCCCTAAATATCGATATTCATCTCGAGCGCTTCGCGCCCCACAGTGATGCGTCCGACGCGCCATTAATGACGCTTAATTAGTCGCGTTAACGATTAAATCGGACGATACACCGCGCTAGAACGATGGGCGGCATCGCCGATGGAATCGTGCGCGTTCAGACATGCCTCGATCACGTGTGTGGCTGTGTATGCGTGTGTGTATGTGTATACTTACGTTGAGATCGCGCTCGAAAATGTGTCCTCTTCCGTTAATTAGCCGCAAGCACGCGAAAGGAAGGAACGCGGTGAGCTGCATTCGCAGAGCCAGCGCTGAAAGAGTCGCTCGACGCGAGAAATTCTACTGCAATCATACATGCCGAAGTATCAAGACACGATATTCGACGGCACGGAGCTTCATTCGATCGATCAGTCGCGATTACGGAAGTGACGGAACATGATCGAATTTCGGGGACGCAAGGAGGGACCTCTCGACGCAAGAGTTGCAACGTCTCCTCTCCGACAACCAGCTCTGTGTCCGACACTCTTTGAAACTCGCGGATAGAGGATCGAGATCCTCTCGACAAGACGCGTAGGTATGTAGGTAAAGGTCCCTGGGTCGCGCGGCGCGCTCACACGCGCAACAGCGTGTCATTGTCGTTGATGTCAAGCAACGGTCGATGGTTCGCTAGGTTGCCCACGGGTGCGTTACGTCGATCCGAGTAGCGGCCGAGGTCCTGGAGAATCCTGTACGAGGGGCGTCGTAGTAGTTGTTATCGCCTAGAGGCACGGAAGTCGGCACTAGGCTATGCGAGGGTGACCACCCCTTCTGGCTCGGGCGACCAGCAGTTGTCGGATAACCAGCAGCCGATCACCACCGTGATGAAGCCGATCAACAGGGCCACGATGATGTAGATCTCCGCCTTGCCTAGCGAATCTGTTCACAGTACGTGCTCGTGTAACGCATCCCAACCATTATATGTCACACGCGCGCCCGCGGTCAAGGAGCTAATTAACGTTCTCGCTGCAGGCTGCAAGTGAGTGGGCGGTAGCCATGCATTGTGGGAAGATCGCCGAGGTGCACATACGCTTAGGTGCTAAAGCATGCTTGTTGCTGTGAGCCCTTCAGATGTAATTTGTTATCTCGTGGCCGTATACGGCCGTATACGGTATAATTGAATTAATTGGTGGACGTTGCGTTGCGCGGAGAAGCGCGCTGAATGGCGGAGCGACGATCAGTTGGGAGTTTCGGGAGGGAGGAAGAAGCGCTAAGCAAGATGAATAGAACGAAGAGAAGCTTGCAACTCTCTCAGGTTGGATGCATAAACCGGGGTTTATTCCCTTTCGGTTAATCGAGGTAACATCTAGAGTGTCTGATTTACGTGCGCAAATCTGACACGCTACGAATGAACGGAACGCATTGGCACGTTGAATGCCGCGATAGTCGTCGATGATCGGTGCTATGATCGGTACTACCGTATCTCGTTAAGTGTTACGTGTAAAATATTGAAGGTAAGCACTAATATTTATTATTTATAATTGTAATATAGTAAATAATTGTAATATAGTATATAGTATTTAATATATTACAAATAATATATATTATATATAGTATATTTATCGGTGTTGGGCATTAATCGCGATGAAAATGTTCTTTGACTAAATCAATGATCAATCCTTATATATGAGATCACAAATAATTTCGTCGCGACTGGTGGTATTAATAAAACTTTGATGCGATTGATTATACACTGACTAATAATTACTTTTCATTCATTGATTAAATTATATATGATTATATACATGACAATCGATTAGTTTTGACATGCCGATTATTTCAGGCGAATAAAATTTCACCGGTTAATACCTAACATTTATATATACACATTTGTTACATATTAAGTCTAATAAATTGCATCTAAAAGAATTACATTTAAGAAAACAATTAAAAAAATTTGAAGTACCTAGAAATTAAAAAGAAATTAAAACTAATGAGACAAGATAAAAGATATCTGTATCCCGAATTGCGTTTTTTTAGCGTATCTTCGGCAATTCGATCATCGGTCAGGCTTCCCCACGATTAATGGAGATCGACGTGCGGCAGTCAACGCGTGTTAATATTCCGTACTTCGTTTCCGCACGCTTGCCTCGAGATTTCTCGAGGGTCTACGGATTCTCACAGCTAAGTAGAGGCGTAATCTGCGATGGAAGTCCGAAATTTCCACGTCAGAGAGCGAGGCTCCTCACGACTAGGGTCGTATTTGAAAGTTAAAACACGCAGCTGTCGAGCCGACGGAGGACGTGAGCAAAAAGAGGCCGTTCCGTTTGTTCATTTCATGAATTTTTCACAGCCGTTGCCATTATACCATGTCCCCTTCGCCGCGCTCACGCTCATGACGCGGCTGCCCGCGGCGAAAGATCGAAACAAAGCACATCGTCGTCGGGGTGGCCAAGGTGTGCGGGTAAAACACAGCGGTGACGTGACTGCGTTTCCCGACGAGACTCAAACGACCAACCGTGGGAATTTGTGCAAGGAATTAATCGAATTCCGATTCGACTACTTCTTCAAATTCTTGCCGTTCTCTCGCGATCATTTCATCAGAGTCCCCGTGCGCCAACAGCGACCGGTCGATTACGTGAAATATTCGGCGCGACGTTCGATCGAGAATCGCGACAGAGGTTTATTCGTGACGTATAAATGGAGATTTTGAGGCGCGCGCGATAACGGAGATTCCTCTTGAGATTCCGGTAATTTCCGTGGCGATAAGAAAAATTTTCTCGAGTTTAGCGTACGCGACATGTGCACGATCGCGGGGCAAACTACTTTCCGCGAAATTGCGGCGCCAAGCCGTAAGACGTGTTTTATGGTTCGACTATCGCGATATGAGATTTCCCGACAGCAGCCACTACACCGCCAAAGTCGTGAAACTAAAAAAGTTCTTCTCGCAAATTGCAGCCGCGTTGATCCGGCAAGTTGATCTCGGCCCACGGTGGTACGAGAATGTCATACGTATCCGCGCACGACTCCACTATCATCTGTAAACCGCGATTCCTCTTTTATGACACGTGTCTCCGCGAGTTTTGTGCAACACGGGTCGTGCGCGCGAAATGCAAAATTGCGAAAGCGTCGGAATCCGCGCGAGATGGATGGCTTCGCGGCTGTGTCAAGCATTCCGACGTGGATTTAACTAATCTCGAATTAATCACGAAGCCGGAACGAAAGGGGCGTGATATCGCTCTGTTGCAACCGCATCCAGGATGCTTTCATGCAGGACTAATTACAGCAACAGATAACATTAGCACAACTATGAGGCAAGCCCGAGCATATCACACTGCGTGACAACGGACCGATCACTCAGAATGCGTGACTGACAACTCTACAGACTCCGCCGCATCGGAGGCCGAGGCTGTGTGAGAGAGCGAGGCGGAAAGAACGACTGCACGATGATAGTCCATCCGCGCGCGCATATTCAGATTTATACCGTCGTGCATCACTGTTAGAAGAAAGCACGAAATATACGAAATCGAAGTTACAAAGCGAACAAAAAAAAAAGAGAAAGAAAAGCCCAGAGCAAAGCAAAGCAAAACTCTGAAAACACCTGCGCAGAGTACGCGGCCTATGCGTTGACTGAATCCACATACGCTATCACTACAATAACTGCAACAGAAACAGTAACAGCAACTACTTCACCAACAGTCGCGTGAAAACAAGCAAAAGCAATAGCTCGAAACAACTTTCCGAGGCGGGATATAACGCGACATACTTTCGACCACTCTCGAGCGCGAGCAATACCGAGCATCGACAAAAACCAGAAACGCAAAGAAACGAGAGGACAAGCCACACAGCTTCGTCGACACAGCGAAAGCACACAGTGTGAAAAATAATCAATTTGAAGGGAAACGATTCCATTTCGCGCAACATCCACATCCAGTGCTAATTAGCACTTGATATTTGTTCTGCATAATTCGCGCCAATCACGGTACACGCGCGCGAGCTCTCATTACATATTAAACTCAATTAAATTTCCTTAAATTCAATTCAAATCTCATTAATTTACACTAAACTTCTCTAAATTCTAATAGGAGATCTTGATGGAAAATTTCATATCAACCATACTCAAATTAATAAATAAATGAAACATATTATTTATATAATATAAAACAAAATCATATTATTTATAATATAAACAAATTATTTAATAATATATATTATATTATTAATATATTCCCGAGTCGAAATTTTGACCCTATGTTAAACCTTGAATTCTATACCGCAGTAGGAGCTAAGATAGCAAAGTCGGTTTAATTCTAATGATATAATTTACTCCTACTTTGACCTTGATGATGTCTGAAATTTCCGCTTTCGCTTTCTTTAGCGTTAAAGTAAGTTGTATAATAATAAGTTCTTAGGAAGCAAAATAGGTTCAGTTGCAAACCTCTATTGAAGCTTTAGCTGTTACATAGAATATATGTATTTTATAGAAATATTTAAAAAATTTAATAAATAACGAAATAGAAACGTCAAATAGCATACAAAATATATATTTTATTTGTCGCATATATTTCAGACATTATCAAGGTCAAAGTAGGAGTAAATTATATCATTAGAATTAAACCGACTTTGCTATCTTAGCTTCTACTGCGGTGTAGAATTCAAGGTTCAACATAGGGTCAAAATTTCGACTCGGAAATGAGTGCCAATATCGTCAAAATAGGTTTCACCTAAGTTGTAGATTATCTAAGTAGGCTCAAACTACTTTTAAGAGCGTCAAAGTAGCGTCAAAATTTGGACAAGGTAGTGTTAAAGGTTCAAAAGAGAAGTTAATAAGTATCAATATCGTCAAAGTAGGTTTTACCTAAGCTACAAACCGTCTAAGTAGGCGCAAATTATGCTTAAGAGCGTCAAAGTACCATCAAAATTTCATAAATTATATCATACAAATTATATATTACATTATATTATTATGAATGATTTCCCTTCAGACGCTCATTTCTCACACTGTGGTGCGGCGTGAATCTTTACCTAGCGGACCCTTCGACTTCCACAAGCCCTTGATGAGAGTGGGGTCACCGCGGCGCCAGTCGCGCCAACCTCGGCCCCGGCGGGCCGGTCCCGTGGACCAGCCGGTACCGGAGGCGGCGGCACCGCCGCCGGCACCACCTCCGGTCGAGCCACCACCAGCAGTGGCCCCACCGGACACGCCGAGGCCGAAGGACGCGGCTCCTGCAGCGCCAGTCGAGAAACCGGTAGCACCGCCGCCTCCGACACCGCCGCCGCCACCGGAAGCACCACCACCGCCACCGCCGGGGCCCGGGGTGCTCGGCGAACCGGTCTGCGGCTGACCGTGGGTCCCTGCTCCAGCACCGCTCTGCGGCAACGGTGCTCCCGCTGCTTTCCCCATCGGTCCCAGGATCACCAAAGGCAGCATGAAAGACAGGTGAGGTGTGCGCTGTTAGATGATTGATCGATTCGCGCTCGGTAGGTCGGTCGGACGACGGGTCAAGCGACGACAATCTCCGTGGTGGGATTGGAAAAGTTCGCTTCGATTTTTTTTCTGTCTTTCTCGTTTCGGTGAACCGGTCGTATCGTGCTTCTATGTCGTGAAGATGATGAGGTTTCAGTAGAACTTAACAAAGGTTAAGGTTTATTTTACTGAGACATTTTACAAAGCTGAGTCGAACTTTTTCTTTAGTTACTTCCATCATGCACGCAGAAAAATGTTCTGCTAATGAGAAAAGTGATCCAGTTTAATTTCCTTCTTTTAGATAATGGTTAGATAATGGTTAGATAATCAGTCTGTTCTTTTCAGCTGCACTGCTGAACTGGTGCAATAAGTTAAATTGAGACAAATATATGTTTTCTCACTCTAACTTGTTGCACCAGTTCGGCAGTGTAGCTGAAAAGAACAGACCAAAGGTTTCTTTTAGATAATGCTCAGGTAATGATTTCTTTTAGTTAAGTTAATTACTTCTTTAAGTTTATGGGATTAGCAAAGAATATTTTCTTGGTAATAAAGTTTTCAAATATACTAATCACAAAATTAAGGAGAGAGAGAGAGAGAGAGCTCGTGTACTCAAAAGAAAAATTTATTCTCTGTGGGAGAATATTATGAAACTTGATCGAAGAAAAGATTGGATTGATTCTGTATAACTTGTGAAATATTTGAAACAACCAATATTTACTGCTTGAATGCATTTTTTCGTGTGTGTACCAAGTGGAAGTATATTATACGATACGATGTATGATACTATATAATATGATGCGATATATAACAAGTTTTTAAAATAATAGTTTAGACTAATAATTAATAATGCACATTCAGACAAGATTGGAACGACTAGAAGAGACTAGCGAGTTTTTTAATAAATGTTAAGGCTTTATCTGGATTTAATATATTCTTGAGTTCTTCTCAAATTTGTAGTCAGTATATTATGAGACTATTATCAAGAAAATATTCTATGCTAAAAATAATCATTATCTAAAAGAAACCATTATCTGTCCATTAGAAGAAGAAAATTAAACTGAGTAATCGCTTTTTTAGCAATAGAGTGATATTTTTCTGCGTGCAGACATTATGTATATCTTTTACGATAAAGGCATAGTATCAACACTGCCAAAATGTTGTGACGAATAATCCACGAGAGCGATTGCCTGACTAATGAATAATTTGTTTCCTTTCAGCGCAATGAACTCAAATTCGATCCAAAAGTCGAAGCGAACTTTTTCACTGAATCAATATGTACACTTTCAGCTCGTCGATTCGCTCGTCCTCGATTATCTATCGCTTCTCGGAGATCTCGCGCTGATCGTTATTCCGAGTGGGTGAGGTTCGATCGACGACGTTATATTCTTACTCAGCACCAGCGGCGCTGGGAAAATGGTAAACGTGACACGATCACATCGCGCTCATTTTTTATGGAGGATCCTCTTGGAATTGCGTTTATTTCAGGAGAGATCACCGCTACACCGACTCGAGTCGCGCCATTCATCCGATTTCAAAAGACACATGCGAACTTTATCTTCTGACAAGGAGAAACGGCATATCCCGTCAAGCCAATTAAAAATTGTAACTGCTGCTATCATCTACTGATTCGCATGAATGTGAACGAATGGCAGATAGCGCTTATCATTGGAAGTATAAGATATGGAAGGAACAGATCTCCCTTTCAAATGAGCGCAGTAGATAAGCGAGAAGGAACGAAGAATATACCGGAATATGTACAGAGCGGAGGATTTGCGAACTAAGAAAATATTCGAAAAGATCGATATAGATCGTGTAAGTGATACACTGCTTGACACGTTGGCTGCCGATGTATCACCGGTGATGCATTTGGCATAAATAACTCAGGAGAGCCGCAGTATCACCGGCGATATGTTCAAGCCATGTAAGGTAAAATAGTATCTCTAGCTTCTACTCCAACAGATGTCATTTTTCGAAGAGATTCGAAGGGAAACGTTTTTCTGGTGTTTATACAGCTAAACAAATTTTGATTTTAAACTGAAGCTGGCCAACGTGTCAGAATGCCAAGTTCCTGTTTGCTGCTCGATGAATACGTCGGACCATTTTTCTGATTATCACTCATTGGACTAATTGTCACAGATATGGCTACGACACAACAATGATTAAGGGGAGCTGAGGGATGGAGAACATTTCGACAAATGAGGAAATTGGCGTGTGGCGAAAATATCGAGACACGTCTATATCGGGATCATCCTACGTTTAATGCATGTGCTTAGACGTCGAGGGGATTTTTATGTCCGTCGTCGAGAGTCGAGCGGTGACGTTGATGTAAATGGATCGACGGGCAATCTACAAAGATGAGTGATGAATAGTATTCTGGGCTCCATTCGGCATAGACAGATGACGAACAATCATTGACGATCATAACAATGATAAAGAGATATAAACCGCAATTGTATGATTAAATCAAATTTCGTTACGTGCGCGGTAATTGTCGCAGTTAATTACGCGGCTTTAACAGCACGCCCGTTATAACTTGCTTATTAGCGGATAATTATTTGTCGTCACATTCCCGGAATAACAATACAGCAATTAAGTGTTGATTTAATATAAATTTGCCAAATAGAAGCGTGTAAAAGGCTGGCTATTGCTTGCCCCTCGTTATCACGTTTAAACGTAATCCATTTTTTATTCGCTCAACGTAGTCTTTCAATCGAATCTACTCATCTCGGAAAGAATGCGCGCGATGTCCGCGCGCTCCGTGCGTTACTTTAATTAAAAGTCTTTCCCGCGATATTTGTCTCGAATCGGGTCGTACGCGACGTGCGTGCACGCGTGTACACGTGTGTGTATATCACGACCAATGGAAGATAGATAACTGGGTATTCGTTATTGCGAAATCTTACAATGAAAATTCCACGTGAAACAAGTGTGAGGGAAAAACGCTCGAATATTTTTCGATATTAATTTTTCGAAATACCAGGTAAAATACGGCGTAGCCGTCGGCGATATTTGTGGGACCAAGGAAAATACCGGAGCAATTCTGCTCGTTCAATAATCCCATACCTTCGAATACGGGAGTATCGAGGTACCGTCGGTTTCCAAACCTGTTGCGTTCTTTTTGCAAGCCGAATTTAGCGAACCGTGTTCCTTCAATGCGAAATAGACGATGAATATTCAGCTTTATCGTTTAACACAAACAACCGAAAATAGTTAACGGAGCTTTGGCGCGGAAACACAAAATAAAAAGCTTCTTCTTTGTTTGAGATATTCTGAAGATCTCCTTCTTCTTTGTATTGTCCCTTATATTTTATATTTCGTTTACTGATTAATGCTCGATGTGATCTACGCTTGCGTAGTGCGGAGACTTAATTGCAACAATAATTCATGGAAACGTGAATTGACGATTGTCAAGTGCCATCTTAATCACGCATGCCAGCTGTGCCAACAAAGTGTCGGAAAGGAATGGTGATACAACAAACATAACGAAAGTAGAGTGTATTTTACCCTCAGATTTGCGAAATATGCGATTGACGTTTTCGCAGCACCCTTAATGCAGAGCTGTGTTAGCGGCTTAGCGAATATAAAGGAGATTTATTTTTTTCGTTTTTTTCTCTGTCACACGCGCGGTACCTCGCAGCCCTCCAATAACATTGAACAATCTGCATATGCAGATTAAAATTTTGATGGTTCGCGGCGCGAGGAATAATACCGCGGGTCTAACCACAAATAGAAAATCGATAATTTTAAACGAAGTATAATTTAGATTCGGACCGCGGCGGTCTATTGAGGTCATACGAGTTATTGAAACCGCGCGCGTTGGCCATTTTGTTTCGATCAGTCATCGGGATGACAAAAATTGTCGTTCTATCGGAGGCCCACGCGCGCACCTCTGCTGTCGAAGTCTCGATGAGTCAAATCACCGATTGTGTATAATCTCATTAGCGCACACAGAAAAATACATACTGCATTCAAGTAAATATGACTTGTTTTATATGTATTGTTCCAAGGTAATGTAATATGTATTGTAATATGTATTGTTCAAATTTATACGAGTTGACAAACAGCAAGTTTATAGTCCTTTGCACAATTGCATTGTAATTTTTATTACAATATTCTCTCCGTATAAGTTTATATATCCACAAATCTATCACAAATTCATTGTAAGCATCAAATTTGTTCAAAATACTTTCTGAATCCTAATAAGTTTTTAGTTATTTCAATTGAGAATATTAAATTAAGACAAAAATTCAGTTTGCTTATTACATAAAGTCGAGCCAACTTTTTCTTGACAAAGTTTTGTAATATTCTCGTATGGGTTATTTCATACATAGAGAGAATATTGTAGTAAAAATTACAATGCAACTTTAGTAGCTCGGAAATAGGCTGGCACTATTACAAAAATTATAAAACATAGTAAAAATGGATCATAAATGTAGTAAGAATTATCATGTTTATAGTCATCAAAGACATCTCAGAGACATCTGACGGATATCCCATTTGTTTTAGATGTCCTTTTAATGACAAACAGCAAGTTTATAGTCATTTACACAATTGCATTGTAATTTTTACTACAATATTCTCTTCGTATAAGTTTATATGTCCACAAATCTATCACAAATTCATTATAAGCATCAAATTTGTTCAAAATACTTTCTGAATCCTAGTAAGTTTTTAGTTACTTTAATTGAGAATATTAAATTAAGAAAAAAATTCAGTTTGCTTACTACATAAAGTCGAACCAACTTTTTCTTGACAAAGTTTTGTAGTATTCTTGTGTGGATGTGCAAAGATAATTGATAATTATACAAGTAAAATTTATACGAGTTTTTGTATGTGAAAATAATGTATATAGTTTAATAAACTATTTGTAGTTATTGCAACTAAAGCTGAATGATCAGGAGAACTACATAGAGAATTAGAGGACTATATATAATTCTTGTAACCGTTCAATTTCAGTTGCAATTTCAACAAATAGCATAAATACGCCTCAGAGACATCCTAAAGACATCTAAAACAAATGGAATATCCGTCAGGTGTCTCTGAGATGTCTTGTAGGTCGGATCTACAATAGATGTAGTGAGCCTTCAGCCTTATGCTCTAAAGCCTACAATTTCTGGCAAAAAGCGCTCTCCGTGTGGCTGTAACAGTTGGAATCTAGCCAACTCGCTTAAAGCTTAGGGATTATGACTTCAGATAGCAATGGAAAACGTTTGTAGTCGAAAATTACGTCACAGTTTTGGACTTAGAATACAAAGCTTACTACATCCATTGTAAATCCAGTCTTAGATATGAGAATAACTACAAAATAGTTTATTAAATTATATACATCAACACTACATATAAGACACGTATTTGTCACGTATATAAATACCACCATGTATTTTTCCCTGAGTGCAGTATGGTATTTTTCTGTGTGCTGTGTGCGGATACAAGAAAGTGTTGAAATTCCAACGTTAATAATTTCAATACCTGCTAAAATTCTCCAAATTTATCGCGCATTGTGCATTGCGACTTATCAGACCGAAATGGATATATCCCGATAAAATTGTAGATATTATCTCTGCCGAATCACGCGAGGCACACGTCGGCTTTGGCACGAACGTATTCGTATCTAGCGTGCGACGTTTGCGAGTCCGTGTAAGCGAGAAGCGTGTAAACTAATATTCTGATATTACATGTTCTCATGTGTAATCTAGAAGCCGGATTGCGCTTAACACTTACCGCATAAGGAGAGTAGCAAAACACTGACAAGGAAGAACCACCCCATACTTCGTCAACAGATCGCGCCGTGGAGGATCATCCTACATAGCGATGTGTCGTAGTGCCTCGTACGTGGAAACCGGCCGTCGTCACAGTGTTGCGCGTCGCAACGAGAATCCTGTAAATCGAAGGCAGAGTTCACGAAACCCGAATCGTGCATTCTCGATGCGCGGAGAAAATTCAAGATATACCCGTAAATTCAGTATATACCCGAGTCGAAATTTTGATGCCACTTTGACGCTCTTAAAAATACGCTCTAAGGATACTTTGCGCCTACTTATAATATTAGACGGTTTATAGCCTAGATAAAACCTACTTTGACGATATCGATATTCATTAACTTCTCTTTTGAACCTTTAATTTTACCTTGCCAAAATTTGGATGCTACTTTGACGCTCTTAAAAATAGTTTGAGCCTACTTAGATAATCTACAACCTAGGTGAAACCTATTTTGACGATATTGGCACTCATTTTCAAGTCGAAATTTTGACCTTATGTTGAACCTTGAATTTTATACCAGCAGTAGGAGCTAAGATAGCAAAGTCGGTTTAATTCTAATGATATAATTTACTCCTACCTTGATAATGTCTGAAATATATGCAACAAATAAAATGTATATTTTGTATACTATTTGACGTTTCTGTTTCGTTGTTTATCAAATTTTTAAATATTTCTATAAAATACATATATTCTATATAGGAGCTAAAGCTTCAATAGAGGTTCGCAACTGAACCTTTGCTTTCTAAGATCTATTACTATTATACAACTTACTTTGACGCTAAAGAAAGCGAAAACGGAAATTTCAGACATCATCAGGGTCAAAGTAGGTTTAATTCTAATGATATAATTTACTCCTACCTTGATAATGTCTGAAATATATGCAACAAATAAAATGTATATTTTGTATACTATTTGACGTTTCTGTTTCGTTGTTTATCAAATTTTTAAATATTTCTATAAAATACATATATTCTATATAGGAGCTAAAGCTTCAATAGAGGTTCGCAACTGAACCTTTGCTTTCTAAGATCTATTACTATTATACAACTTACTTTGACGCTAAAGAAAGCGAAAACGGAAATTTCAGACATCATCAGGGTCAAAGTAGGAGTAAATTATATCATTAGAAGTAAACCTACTTTGCTATCTTAGCTCTTACTGCGGTGTAGAATTCAAAGTTCAACATAGGGTTAAAATTTTGACCCGAGTCGAAATTTTGATGCTACTTTGACGCTTTTGAGGATAGTTTGCGCCTACTTAGACGGTTTATAGCCTAGGTACAACTTACTTTGACGATATTGATACTCATTAGCTTCTTTTTTGAATCTTTAACTCTACCTTGACACTACTTTGACGCTTTTAAAAATAGTTTAAACCTCCTTAGATAATCTACAATCTAGGTGAAACCTTTGACGATATTGGGACTCATTTTCGGTCGAAATTTTGACTTTACGTTGAATCTTGAATTCTACAACGCAGTATGAGCTAAGATAGCAAAGAAGGTTTAGTTCTAATGATATAATTTACTCCTACTTTGACCTTGATAATGTCTGAAATATATGCAACAAATAAAATGTATATTTTGCATGCTATTTGACGTTTCTGTTTCGTTAGTTATTAAATTTTTTAAATATTTCTATAAAATATATATATTCTATGTAGGAGCTAAAGTTTCAATAGAGGTTCGCAACTGAACCTACTTTGCTTCCTAAGATCGTAAGATTCCTAAGATTCCTAAGATTCCTAAGATTCCCTTCCTTTAATTCCTAAGATCTATTATACAACCTACTTTGACGCTAAAGAAAGCGAAAGCGGAAATTTCAGACATCATCAGGGTCAAAGTAGGAGTAAATTATATCATTAGAATTAAACCGACTTTGCTATCTTAGCTCCTACTGCGGTGTAGAATTCAAGGATCAAAATTTCGACTCGGGTATCGGCGACATCGCAACCACCATCGCGGAGCGATTCTGCGCGTAACCCAACCTACGAATAATTGAAACGACCTGCTCCGCGAGGCGGCCTTCACGAGAAACTCACGCAGAATCCGCCGTTCTATATAATCGCCGACGGAATAAATACGCTTTCGGACGAGTCGTGACGTTTCTGTAAACTAGCGAATAGCTTATGTATGAGTTATGCAGGAACGAATACGCAGACGAGGTTATATTCATATTCCTGAAGCTGCAAACTCATATATATTTCGCGTTTGGCATTGCAACTTTTATATCATATCGCATTCGATATTTAGAATTCAACCACTGACTTTACATGTACATATAGGAGGTTGCAAAAATCCAACATTAAATGCAATAATTGCATCAACTCATGCAACATAAATGTCCAGAATACATTCTAGAGACATCCCAGAGATATCCAGGATATCTAGATATCTCTAAGACATCTTTAGGATATAGTTTATAAGGCCTGTTCTTTGTAGTTGCACTGCTGAACTGGTGCAATATATTGAAGTGAGATAAATATACGTTTCCTCACTTTAACTTATGGCTACTAGTTCAACAGTGCAACTACAAAGAACAGGCCTATAGTTGTGCTGAATGAGAATTGCTGTTAGAAGTGTCAGCAAATATATCTCTCATAATGTATTCATAATCATTAGGAGAATGATTATGGCTTTATCATAATTCAGTGCGAAGAATCGTTTCGTGTTATTCTTTCTGCTTTCGAATCGATCAAAAATAATGAAGCCGATTGTCGATCCCCCTTCCTCCCTCGCGGTTAACCCGTAACATGTACCATGGGGTCCCAGGGACCCCAACTAATTTTATTTTTATGATAATTCCTAAACTATTCACTGAATGGCGCTAATGTCTTCAGTACCTTTCGAGTAACAGTTTTCAGTGTGACAGAAGAAAAGATCATCGACTTATTTGTAAGTAGTTGTGAATTATATGCATTTGTTTTTCGTCACAGTGACCCCATTGTACCGTTAACGTTATTTTTATGAAAATAATTTTCTTAATCTTCAGCTCAATATGACTCATTCTTCACGCAAAAAAATAAAAGCTCTTGCCTTTCAGTTAATAGAACCTGAACTTAAGAGACATCTTACAACTCTATATATTCATAAGCCATTGCGTTTAATAATTTCACCTATTTTAAAAATTGAAGAAACTGGAAGATCTAAAATTATTTTGTCATCCAGAATAAGATATAATAAATGTCTTAGAAGTAAAGATATGAGGTCCAAATAAGTATATGTTAGATGCAATGAACCAGTATGCACCAAATGTGCAAGCACTATCTGTAACGATTGCATCTAAAAACTCTCTAAGATTTTAATATTGTATTTAATTTAACAATACTAGTTTATATTTTTTATATAATCTATAATTTGTGGACTTAGATTAAAACATAAATTTTTTTCTTTTTCCGATTATTTGTCTTTCAGTGTATTTTATTTCAACACTGTCCACATTGTGTTCATCTTATAATCAATTTTCTTTTAGATTACTGAAAAACTGAGACTGTTATTATATATGTCTAGTTGTAATATAATATTCGTAAAGTATTATTTTCAAACTATAAAGCGTTTTTTTTCTACCTTTTATTATCATGTTAAAAATGGCAAAAATTTATTGGGATGCGTCGGATCCCATTGTACTTATAGTTTGACTAAAAAAAGACATGGTATCTGTTATAAGATAAGGAATATCATGTGCTGTTTAACGAGACACGAGTACTTGTGATAAAGTTAGCACGAGATTTCACGGGAAAATTGTTTCAAAATATTACCTGACAGCCGCTTGATCGGACGTGAGGATGGAGAATACTCCAGTGCTGGGATTCTGTAACTCGTTATTGGAGTTAACGACAGTTTTTCGTTGCGTAGCTTTTGTATACCGTAGAAAAGTTGCGCAACGAAACTGTCGTTAACTTCAATCACGAGTTACAGAATCGTAGCACTGATGTGCGTCCAATACCGAAGTTTCCAGAGAAAAGACCCGCGAACGCGCACGGCCATGTTGCCCGTCGCCTGATCACGTGAGCATTTAGGCGCGCGATGATCTTCGCGCCAGTGGCTTATTTCAGGCGACGATAAAGAGTACCGTCCAGTAAGCGCTACAAATGCTTTGTAACGTTTTTACTTCTTTGGTTGTGTTCCTTTTGGGCGCTCACGCGCTTTAAGCGCTTATAAACGTCATTCTATCTTTCTTCCGCATCTAATGGCTTGGTTTACATCGTGCACTTGATACGCGTATTAAATAGTAACTTTCTATTAGATAATCTTAATATCGACGATGTATATAAATAACGGTATATTAAACTGGTATGAAGAATTATATACTGATCAAGAATTATATTACTTATTGTATCGATTGAATGCGTCATCGTTGATATGCATTGTCAATATTAAGATTATTTAGTAGAAAGTTACTATATAGTACGCGTATCAAGTGATGTAAACCAAGCCAATGAGCGATAGAATGATGCCAATGAGAAATAGAATGACGCCAATGAGAAATAGAATGACGCTTACAGCGCGTGAGCGCCCAAAAGGAACGCAGCCTTTCTCTTTCTTCATTCAAATCCGAGAAATAGAACAAGAAAGAGAAACGCTGTGCAGCATTGTAGCGGTTACTGGACCGCGCCCAAAGGCGCACTCTGAGAAGTCGTATAGTAGCGCGCCCTAAACGGTCTACGACAGTTAGCAGTACTATTTCTGCGCGGTAGACGCATAGCGTGTGGATTACCTTCCTACTCCCTTCGACTCGCTTCGACTTGCCGGACTTGGGCACCGTGACAAGCCGTGAGATACAATCGAGAATAGAACTGCCGCTCGGAATGGGGAGGGAGGGCGAATGATTCACGCCCGACTAGTCGAGCTTTATCGCGCGAATCAGTGTTGTTCGTCTCTCAGTAATAACGAGAGCCGGTGAATTTATGGCAAATAGTTGCAGATGCGATCTAAACGGCGACGCTTCGACGATAACGTCGAATGAATGCTCGTTCATGGCGCTCAGCTCGAGCATTCATAATTAACAGATGTTATATATACATGTCATTAACCCACCCCGAGTACGAACTGCCCATTCAAATGGACCCTTCCAGTCCCCCGCGTAAACACGCCGTGTGTGGCGATCGAAGCGCGCAGCAATCGACAGCTCTGGTGGCGCTCCGCGCTCCCGCGCTTCAGTGTAGATTCTTTGTCGATTTAAAAGGGTTAACGCGGACGGGCGTGTCCGGCGTCGAGGAAGTGCGCGAGATCACATTTCTATAAAATTTGCCCGGGATAATTGTGTCGTTGCGCAAACATCGTTCGCGAGTTCTCGCGACGATGAGTTGCTGCGCGTCAACGAAATGACGTCAAAACAGAGCTGGCCGTTCGACATCGATCGGCTCTCCGATGCGGTAAACGGCTTACAGAAATGTCTGGAGTGCACGATATGGTAAGTTCGCCGTATGCCTGTAATTAGAGCACCATCAGAGCCTATCGAGTCCGCTCGTGTGATTCACAGACGCGATTAATCAACCGCTTTCGCACGATGATTGGTGTAGCTTATAGGTTAGGATCCCAAGGGTGCTATATATGTTTGATGTAGTAATTATCAATCAAATCAGTTAAAGTAAATCCATATTGATCTCATGGAGGAGAATATAATATTAGCTTAATCTCGAGTACCTTTTTTCACTTGATATTCATTGAGCCTGCTTGTGGATCTCCTTGCATGTAACAGCGAGTAAGCACAAGACTGAAGTCATGTTTTGGAACGCAGTTCTGTAATATTGACTACTTGCAGCTTTCCATCACTTTTCAATGTTTCAACCTTTGCATTTTACATCTATGAGTGACTATTGTGTTGTTTCAGTTTGGAGCTTATGACAACACCTGTAAAGACACGATGTGGCCATTCGTTTTGTAAAAAATGCATAGGAAAGGTCTTGCACCAGAAGGCTTGTTGTCCATTATGCAATGAGATCCTTAACAAACGCAGCATATCTAAGGATGATCATCTGGAGTCATGTATCCAGAAGTTCAAGAACCTCATGATTGTCATTCAAATTGACAGTCACATTGATGGTAAGTACACTGTAACGAGAAGCCTCTCAGTCAATCCGCTGTTTGGATTATTGATTTATTCAATCATGTCTGAATCTATACGATATGAGTTAGTATCCTCATCTGAGTTATCATTAACTGATTGCACCAGAAATATAAGAGCTTAATAGGGAAGCCAAGCTGGATATATAATGAGATAACTTTAGCTCCCCTGGGAAATAGCTGTTGCACCAGTCAGGTGTCACGATATTGAGAATTATCGTTGTGAGAGCTTCCGATAATGGTCATAATATCTCCGGGCTATCGATCGCGATTTGCTGTTGTCTTATTCAGCTGTGAGTGCAAGTTAAGTGCGTAGGGCAGTATACGGCTTGCGCCGTAAAAGTACATTAAGTGAGGTCAGCATTACGTCCTTCGCGGTGGGCCTTCATGCCGGGAGGCATGAAAAATTTAATTCTCGATACACTGGGGGTGCCTCGATTCGCGCTATACGTTTTAGAGAAAACTCAATGTTTTATGAGACTCCGGGAGTTTGGGTATCACGTATCTTTCGGACGCCGTGCAGTATCTCGCGTTGAATATTTCAGCCGCGCGTTTACCGTCGAATTTTTTTCCTACCGTATTTTTTTTTTACACACAATGTGCGCGATAAATCAGCCACACTTTGTCGCGACTCGGGCGAATATGAAAAAAAAAATTAACATTAAATTTTCAATCTCATGGGAATATTATGAATTATTTACGTTTCGTTCTAAAACGAAACGTAAATGAAAACGTTTCTGAAAATCATCTCTATGACTGAATAAAGATTAACTATCTCTGTAAAAAACTACCTTTATAAAAACGATATCTCTATTATCGTGATTGAAAACGTTCACTTGAACATTTAGTTGCTTTAAAATGATGGATAAGATAACTGAAATAAAATAACTGGAAGCAATTGACTGAATAGAAACCTACAGAAGTCTTACTATTTCTACAACCGATATTGAGTTTTCATCTGACCACAGGTAACAGAAAGTCTAATACACGAACCGACTTTTTTCTGTGTACACTGAGGGAACAAATATCTAAGAAATAAAAAATATTGATTTGAGTACTAATAACATACATATCTACTTGTACTAATATGTAAAATATTTTTCAAATAAGACAATATACATTTTCTTCAAACTTTAGTTTTTCATGAAAGCAATTATTTATCCTATTTAAATAAGGAAATTTAGATTTAAATAAATATTCATATCAAAGTCAATGTTATCATTACTATAATATTACCACAATATTTCAGTAAATTACATTCTTTTGCATGGGAGTGTAATGTTAAAGTAATTTTTTTCTCTATCAAAGAGCAACATTTAATACTATTAATAGTATTAACTAGTATTAGTTTAGTAACTAATACTAGTTAATACTACTAAAACGTTAGCTTAAAATCATAAGATAATTATATTTTGATAAATATTGAAATGATATTAATTTAATCAAATTTTTTTTAGCAACATAATTAAAAGCTTAAGTTTAATGTTGTATTTTTTGTGCTGTGTACGTATGTTATTAGTACCTATTGAATAAGTATTTTTTATTTCTTAGATATTTTTTCTCCTAATGTAAATAACTCTATTTTTATAATCATACACACACACACACACACACATATATATATATATATATATATATATATTTATACTTATAATCTATACTATTTATAATCCTTCTATTTATAATCTTGTCGGCAAAGATCAAAAGATATGTTTGTAAATCATAATACGTTTGCTCGTGCCCGAATTTACTGTTGAAATTTACGCGAGACAGACAAATGCATTGTGCCTTGAGAAAGCGCGCAACTCCGGATGATTATTCATACCTGACCGCACGGTAGGTAGATGTGTTGTGCAGCATTAACGTCACGATCCGTCATAAAAGTGTTGTCGTAAGATTACTTCATCTTTATTAAAGTTTCCTAGAACATTTTTTGTTGTGAAAAGTAATCATGCTGAAACGTCGAAATTGCTCACGGTTTTTCTCTATAATTCTTATAATTGCATTTTTTTTGAAACTGTTTACATAAGTCAGTGATCTCAGTATTATTAGTAAAAACATATGCGACTATTGATTATCGAGGTCTCTAAGACATGATATATGTAGTTTTAATAATACCGAACTAAAAAATAAAAAAATAGGTGATTGGAGTCGTTCTGATTTATCTTATTTCAGTGACGTTAAACATAAAAGTTCTCCCTGTTACAAAAATGATTTTGAATCTTAAATATTGCAAAAATGCTTTTGCACTTTAAATATTATAAAAGCGTCCCTTTTATCGATGTTAATAAATGGAACGAGGCGTGACCACGAGGCGATATCCGTGTTACAGTACTGTCGCACTCAAAGCAGCCGCGCGACACGAGAGAATGCTACTCAAATTCGGATAGTAGTCAGTCTAGCGTCTCCCACAAGAGAAAACGGATACGATCGATTCGCAGTAACCAGACTACCTTTGAGATCAACAGACCGTCGACAAGCCGAAGGACGGTAACTGACTGTGATAATCCACAATACGATGCAAATTCATTGGCTGGATATGACCAAAGCTTATCGACTCTGACCAACCTTCTTCCCACTGACGGCAATGATAACACGCTTTATGATACGCCAGATGTTAAAGTTCGCACATGGATACACTCGTTCATCGAAAGTACGTCGAGTACCACCATCAAGGGTGTAGAGAATGAAGTATGTCCAAGCGAGGAGAACACGTCTCGAGTGAGCAAGAAGAGGAGACGATCCAGTGACACAAGGAAGGCCGACTCGAGTAAATTGAAGTACAATGCGATTCACAGTAAAGTACGCACGAAAGATCGCAAGAGGTCCATCCCAACGGATGTTGGGAAACCGGACGTCGAAGAGCGTAACAGCAGATCCCGGGATGACTCATCATTCGCGACGTCGAGCAATCAGACACATCAGGCCGATGCATTCGACCGTTCGCACGGGACCAATACACCCACGGTCGGTAACAAGCCGTCCTCCACGGATACCACTTGGAGCCGCGTAAGGGAGATCGGCAAGGAGATGCGCGGGAAGAAGAAGAGAGTGAAGAAGTTGAGCGTCAGTACTGAGAGGAGTACCGGCAAGAACACCGAGAAGAGTAACGAGAGCCCCGAGAAGAATAACGAGAGCAGGGATGAGAAAAATACGGAAAGCAACAAGAGTAAGAACGTTCCTCGTATAATAGAAGACATCGTGTTGATACCAAGGAAAAAATACGAGTCACTTGATAAGAGCGCGACGAATGACGACACGAGCAACAAAGAGGCGAGCGTATCTAAAAAGTCGCGGGAGTCGAACAGTTCGAAATGGGACGCAATTGATGAAAAATCGAGCTTGTCGAATGCAAAAGTAAAGACAAACACGTCAGCGAATGAAACCACGGCTCGCAATCGGGAGGAATCGTTTACGAGTGACAAAACGAACTGTTCGATGTCTGAAGCTAATCCTTGCTCGTTGGAAACATCGTTGGTCATCACGTTGGAAGAGGGTGAAAAGCTGCCTATAAGGAATCTCAACAGCCGTCAGATGAATGAGATTATCGGGTGCAAGGGAGATCTTAAGGGCCTAGTTGACGACGCGAACACCTTGGAAAAGCGACATCTCATGAAGGAGAAAGACAAAGAGCAAAAGGAAGACGTGGAGATTATGATGGAACCGTTCGACTCGCCGTCGCATCAGCAAAGATTGATCATACTGACGCCGGAGAAACTCAACGAGTCTGTAGACAAATGCAGGGCGAACCACAACACTGACTTGCGAACTCCTGTGAGGTTGGAAACGAATCCGACGTCGAGCTTGCCGACTGAGAGCCAAACTACTCCAAATATGAACAACGACGCTGGAAGGACGACGACGACGACTCCAGTAGAAGGGACGTCTGATTTGCGAACACAAACATTGAACAAATCCAGGTTATCCTTGAAGAGAACCCCGAAGACCTTGGGATCGCCATTGTTCAGCCAGACTCCGCTGATGGAACGAATATCGATCAACAAGTCAGTCAGCTTAAAGAGCCGTAAGAGCGTCGATTTGCCAGTGTCGAATGACGGTCCGTCCTTTGACCGATTGGCGACTGTCAGACGCGACTTGAGCTCGCAAATCAGCGATAGGGATCGTCCATCAACCGACCAGGCTACGACTGCCGTCGGTATGTCAACGAAAAGCACAGTCGAGGATAACAACAGAAACGTTGGCGGAACTGTTTGCCAAGACAAAAGGCTCTCTATACAATCGACGAGCTCGAAGAAGTCGAGGCGTATCGATAGTCGGTCGCATAAAGAAGGATGTAAGTTTATGCAGCTCGGCACACTGGTCAGACGGCGAGACGTGAAGTATTATTATAAGGGCGCGACTAAATGCGAGATATATTTTCCGGCGAAAATCCGAGTGGCCTCGGTGTACAATATGCAGCAGTCGGCCAGCAAAAGCGACATGCAGCCACGCGCCGAGGACAAGTCACGCAGCTTCGAGTCTTTGCTTACGACTTTCAACGACTCGCAGGATTCAACGGACGTCACTGTGGTGGAGAACGTGCACAAATCGGCCGCGAGTCTGGACAACACCGTCTTAGAGAACACGAAACTCACGTACGGCGTCTCAGCGAGCTCAACGCCAAAGGCAAACGCGGATCGTCGTCTTGATCGTGCGGAGACCACAGCGCGAGGAAGCTCTTCGACGAGCGTCATCCATAAAACATTGATCGCGGAGGAGGCTCCACGATCGCCTCGTACATCTCGTGCGGACCAGAACGTGACGCAACAGGGGACTCCGCGGGCGAATTCCATCAGACTGTTGTCGCCGGACAAGGACTCGCAGCTCAAGTTCCTCACTATGGACTCGCCGATGAGTCAACACGGCCAGTCGAGGCTCGCGAGTTCCGCGCAATCTGAACTCGAAAGAGGTTTGGCTTCTACCAAAGACAACAACCTAGTCGAGGTGAGAGACTCACAGCGGACCGTCAGACCGCTCGAGCCTCTCTCCGAGAGACTGGAGTCGGCTAAGAAGAGGAAGAGAGACGACAGCAACGATGACGACAACGATGACGGCAACTCCAGCGTCTCGGCGGTCAGCATGAGTAGTCAATGCACGGTCAAGCTCTGTCAAGACAAAAAATCCCGCTTGAACTTGCCGTGCAATCGAGGCGACGAAGTGATCTGCTTGGATCTCGACGACCGCAGCAAAGCACATGAGAGAAAATTCAAGAGGATAGTCTCGATCTCGGACTCAGATACGGACACGGAATCACTGTCGACACGCGTCGCGAAGAAGTCGAACAGGTACGTGATCGTGTTTGTCGTTGCAAGTATTCATCCTAGTTGATGTATAATCCGTGACAAAAAACCGTGTCTCTCTCTCTCTCTCTCTCTCTCTCTGAAACTCAAAAGTTTGCACGTTTAACGTTCTTCGTTCACGAAACCACTCTGACCGATTTTCACTGCACACTCTGTTCTATCGTTCCCTACTTCCCCCCTTCCTGCCTCACTCTTCCCCTTATTGTTACTTTTTTTTTTGGAAAAGTTCATTCTTTAGTGAACGATGCGAAAGCCGCAGGATAGCCGCGCGTTTAATCGCAAAAAGATATTCTCTCTCTCCTTCTCATTTGGGACACAAACGTATTTTCCTTGATTTTTTTTCTTTAATTTTTGATTTTTTATTTGTGTGTGTCTTCCGTGTTGTCTCTGAAGAAACAAGAGTAGCGATCGATGTGACCAGGGGAATGCGTCGATCACGAGCACGTCTAAGAGGAAAAAATTGTCGAAAAGAGTCTCGGACGAGGACTTCCGCATCCGCAGCATAGTCGACAAGTGGAGCAACGAGCACAGCGCGACACAAAAGAGACTGACCAAGGGGACGAAAAGCGCGCAGGATGCCGCGAAGCCAACGAGGCTCAACGAGAAGATAAAGATTCACCGTCACTCATCTTTCTCGACTAATTCGTCCGAGGGTGCGAAGCGCGGCAGCGCGAAGTCGAACGAAAAGAACACCGAATCGGAGCTGTTCTTCGAGAGTAACAGCATATTCAACTCGGAGGGTCTGGAGCAGCTCGTTGTGCGTCAATCGAGCGACAAATCGAACAAGGGCCGGAAAGAGCAGGAGTCATCGAATTCCATAGATCCCTTGGCCGACGACATTGTCAACAAAGTGTTGCAGATCAACCGGCCGCAGCAGAGTAATCCCGCCGCGTGTCGATCAACAGGCGTCACTTCGCGGGTAAACGACGACGGGACGAATCAAAAGGACAAGAGCGAGCGCTACGAATACAACTTGCTGCAGGACAATTTCGACGAGATCATCGCGAGTGTCGAGCTACCGCAGAGCGAGGACGTGGTGCCTTGTAGCGAGCTGCCGGCTCACCGCAATTCCGATCGCAATCTCAGCCGCACGCTGACGGAACAGAACACGTCGAGCTGTCCCGCGATGACGAATGAATCGCGCGACGTCGCCCGGCACGGCCAGATGAAACCTGCATCGTCTACAGCCGACATCTTCGAATATTGTGGCTACTCCGGCGGCAAAAGTGTCAAGAAGGCACACCCGACCAGCACCTCGGGAAATTCCAACAAGGAGAATATCGTGTCCCACGGTCAAAGGAAACACGATCACGCGGAGGAGGACCGAAGGGACAAGAAAAATGTTGCCGCAAGAAGCCCGGACTCGATTGACAAAGCCGGCCGTGAGAAGTCCGTGTCAAGAAATAATGTATCACAAGAGAAGCGTGGGCCCTTTGATCGCACCGAGATGACGGAGAGGACGTCGCGGATGGAGATTAACGTTCCAGTGGGCTCGACAAGTCAAGCGGACCACGACGGCAGGGTGCAAGAGAGAGCGAATAACGAGTCGAATGCGAAAGATTTTTCCTCCGATTCTCTCATGAACATCACGCAACACCAGGATCAACTGAGGATGATCGAGGAAGATCTGTTCGGTATCGCGCCTGCCTGGATTGATGCGAAAGCGTCCAAGACAAGTTCGGACGATTCGCTTCGAGAGGAGCAACGCACCCCGAAAAAGAGGAAGAAAGGAGGCGTTCATAAGAAGAATGCGACGTCGCAGGTGAGTGTTCGCGTATTTGTGTGATTCTTTAATTCGTCGTAGCAACTGCATGCTTCCATTTCGATTATAATTTTTTAAGTTTTATAAGTTTCTCACGGGATATTCATAGTCCCTTTAGAGAGTTACTCAACTGCCTTCAGAGGCGGTGATACGAGAAATTAGTTATGAACTTTAGACGCAATTCCAACTCTAACTTATCCACGAGACATTCAAAATTCTTTTCAGGAGTTTGATACGAAATTAAATGAAAACAATTCACGTGCAATTCATACGGACAACGTTATAAATACGATCAATTGTAACCATGTATATATAGAGTATCCCGTGATGAACTGTACATACTGAGAGAGCGTGTTTCTAGGATCAATTTAAGCAGGAAACTTGCCATAAACATGAATGAAATTCACAATAGTTATCTAAATAGATCCAAGCTAAGAATTGAGTTGCAATTTTTGGAATGTCCTTATCATTGAAACTAAGAAGACTAACAAAATAAATCAAATATAAAAACAAAAGATTATTGGATAGAAATAAAAATCGCAAGTTCAAATTGTTCAAATTGACGTCCTTCGGCTACGATACATCGCGCACTGCAATGGACACGTGTATTATATTAATACACTATATCCATGCAGGTCTGAATACAGCGTATTAAGTGTCTACCGACTCCTCTTTGTCTAAAAGAGGGGCTTTCTTTCAGAAGTTTAAGAATAGCCAGATCTAATTCTTAGTTTGAAACTTGTACTTAAGTTGACTATTGCGAATTCCATTCACGTTTTTAGGAAGTTTTCTGCTTAAGCTGTTCTCAAGAACACGCTTTCTTACAAGGGACAATATCCAAGTGTGATAATACCCATTTTCCTTGAAAGTCAGCACGCACATAGCATATGATATGACATTTCATATTTGATATTTTATATCGGCCCGTTTTTTAATTTGCACAATTATTTAGACGATTGTTTAAACAAAACTCGAAATGGCAATGTACGTAAAAATTGATATTTATTATACTATATAATTTATATATTATAAGCCCATAACATGTAAATTTAAGATACATAAACCTAAAAGCTATAAGCACGTAAACTCAAAACTCATAACTCGAAAACCCATAAACCTATAAACCCATAAGCCCGTAAACCTGAAATCCATAAGTCTAAAACCCATAAACAATCGTCTAAATAATTGTGCAAATTAAAAAACGGGTCGATATAAACGTGCACATATGAAATGTCATGTCATATGCTATGTGCGTGTTGAGTTTCAAGAAAAATGGTGTGTCACTTGAGTAGTGTCCCTTGTTAGTATGTACAGTTTGTCATGAAACGTACAAGGTCAATTAGAATTTTTATTTATTATTGCACGGAAAAAATTTTGTAGTAAATATTATTATATATATTATTACTTATATTATATATATTATATATTTATAATTATTATTATATATAGGATTTTATAAAGTAGGAATATGTAGGTTGACATCCTGCAGTAACTCACTGCATCTTTTCATTTCACATGTTATTTATATTTTAGGAACTGAAAAGTGCTGCCGTAGCACTTGCTAGTTTTCTAGCGAAATTTACCATGTTCCTTCGCAAGATAGATCTGACTAAAAACGTAGTAAGATCGAAAAGAACTTATACGAGAGAAAACTATAATATTCTCTCCGTGCAATATTTGTATCTATAATATTTCGGGGGTAACCGAAAAATTTATATGCTTTATATTGGCTGTGGGATACTCTTTTACGATCGTTTTATTGAAAATTCTTATCGGAGAGTCGCGCGAGACAGGCATACGTTTCGCGATCGAGAAAAAGAAGAAGAAAAAAAGAAAACAGCGGAAAACGAACGAATCGAATTTACATCCGCGCCAGCGTGCGAGTTTCGGTCTTTCCACGTCCGTTGCAAATGTCATCGCGGCGTAAACCGCAACGTTTCCCTTCGAAGAACAACTCCGTCTCCTCGTCGAAATAATTACAGCTCGTGTAATTAACCCTCGGACGTTCGCGACGAGTTTAATCGCCGATATTAAACGCGACGCGCGACGTTTTATATTCTGTTAAATTTTCTGTTGTGATGGTTCACGACCTCCTTTCCCCACCTTTTTACGATTCTTTTTACGTGCACGCGACTGTGTGCATTCGTTGTCTATCTCTGTGCGACGATGGGAGCGTTTCACGTAGCAGTAGCAAAGAATGGATTATGAAATAGCTTGTTTCGTACGCATCGCCTCTCGCCCTTCATGAACTTACGCTGCAAGCTGCACGTCACACCCGTTAGATGTTACTCTCTACGTTGTACGAAACTGCGACGCACACTGGCCCTTTGACGGGCCTTTGAAAAAGGAAAGCAAAAGAAGGAAAGAAACAGACTCTTAGCGACAAAAGAGAGACTCTTAGAGAAAGAGAAAAAAATTAAACAGACTTAGCGAGGATCACATAGCACTTTTAAACGCAGGAACACTCCGCCGACGAAGACGACATTGTGGAGAACACGCCCGAGACGAAGATGAGGAAGTAAGTACTCGTACTCCAAACACTTTGCTCTCTTTATGACGCACTCCTCATGTATGTGCTTACGCGCTTTCGCCGCTCGGATGACGTGCTCGTACATATCATGCAAGTACATATCGTTGCATGCGACTCGCAATGAAACTGCCGGAACTGCTCACCCGTGCTCAGTTTCGAGTGTGTAGGGTAGCGTATCGCGAAGCAATCGGGAGACACATTGGCAAAAAGAACGTATGGAAATAAAGTTGAAGAATCAAAAATTAAACGATTAATCGTGGAGTGACTAAAACACACCGTAAAGAGATATGGATAAAGAGAAATGGAAATAAGATTGATGGGTTTCGAGAAGAAATTAAACTTTAAAAGAACTAAGTCATAAATGTATTCCGTGTAAATGCACGAGACTAATATCTCTTATCAAAAATATATATTGTTGCTCAAATTTTGGAAATGATAACACCCGCTATTGGAGCACACAAGTACTCTGAGAGAAAAATGTTTCGTATTTGTAACTATAATCATAGACATTACCGTCCAGAAGTTTGAAAGCAGTCATATTTTTGTATGAAATAAAAGATCGTTTGTTATGAAAACAACCGGTTATAATAAATATTATGAAAACAACCGGTTATAATAAATGTTTATTGACATTGACGACTATTTTAGGTCAGAACATCAACTCTTTGTGTCTATGTCTAATAAATTCTTGCTATTATCTACTTGCGGTTGAACACTTACTTTGTTTTGATCATGTTAGAATCACGGAAATATGATGTTTATCCTCAATTCCGATATCTAATCATTGTATTCCAATTAAATAGGATCTTAATAGTTGTATTCAAGCATTTATAGACGCAAGTTATAATTTCTGAGCTCAGTGCGCGTTAAAGTTATCAGTCGGTTGATTTAACTGAATTTTTTATTCCATATAATATAATTATAGGCACATAGAGTTTGTGTTCTAACCTAAAGTAGTCGTCAATATCAATAAACATTCATTATAATCGGTTGCTTTCATAACATTTACAAACGATCTTTTATTTCACAGAAAAATATGACTGCTTCCAAACTTCTGGACGGTATAGAGAAATAATTACTATAAATTATGGTCAAGATAACCATTTTTTAGTCAATCTACTATAATTTTAATGATAATAACCTTATATGCATGTTACTACTATTATCTACATGTTAGAAACCAAAAAATATAGTTGAGACCAAATTGGACATAATTATTATTACTAAAATTATAGTACAATTGACTAAAAAATGGTTGTCCTGACCATAATTTATAGTAACTATTTCTCTATATGATTATAGTTACAAATACCAAACATTTTTCTCTCAGTGTACGCTATGAGGGAAGGAATATTTGGAAAGTAAAAAATATTTATTCGGCGGATACTAATTGAAATATTTAAGGTTTTTGAAAAAAGGGCGAAATGTTTATGGACGCTTGGCCGCACTCTTTGAAGATTACAGATAATGCAGATACGACTGCCGACATTTAACAATATTACATTTTCAATCTAATATTTTGTGATTTCCATTTATAAAAATTATTTTTGAATAATAAGTATATATATTCCTTTACTTTGAATCGTATAAATATATATATTCCTATATATATATATATATATATATATATATATATATATATTCGTATATATATTCCTTTACTTTGACTCGTGCTTGTCACACGGGAGGGGGTACGTCTCACGCATATCTGTAATCTCAATTTCTCGTCAGAATAATTTAATCTTACTTCTATTGCTTTTTTCACGCCGTCACGAGAGAATCATCCGCGACGTGCAACCGCGGCGATGCACCGAACAAGACCGGGAATACGCAGAGAAATGTAAGCAGTAAAATTTGAGCAGTGAGCAAATTGATCAACCTCAAATTTTTTTTACGGCTCAAGAATAATTGATGGATCAATTTTCTTACTACTCAAGTCTTACTGCTGACGTTTCCCTCATGTGTGTCCTAAGAACGCGCATCGATCGACCCGAAATCGCAAAGAGCAGTTCCGCGCGTTCGCTGTTAAACGCGTCGCAACATGCTGCGAGATATATTTCCTCGAATTTTGCAGCAGCGGCAGTAGCGGCAAAACAGTCGGCTTGAGCACGCGCCGAAATATAACGACATTGAACTATGGGGATCTGTCCCCGATTCCGAGTTTCTCTGAACAGCCCAGCTCGACCACGTCCCCGCGCAAAAGGGCGACGTCGAGGAGCGAGCACGCGAGCACGCCTCTTTGCCAGCCCGATTTGATCCCATATCCGCTTTACCAAAGTACACCGAAGGTGACGTCCAGCTCGATAACATCCGGCCGCCGCGACGACGTGTCCACAACAGGCAACATCAAGCAGCTCAGTAAGCGACGCGCGACAGCGGCCAGCGCTGACGACGAAGCATCATCGTCGACGACGAAGCAGACTACAAACGGCAACACATCGAGGAACACGTGTCAGCAGGTTGACCGGGGCAGATTGCGCTTCGTATGCACCGGCTTGGCGGCGATTCAGATCGCGAACGTGCAGAGATTTGCGCGACTACACAACGCCGAATACGCGAAGCAGTTTGACCCGAGTGTGACGCACGTGATCGTGAACACCATCGGCGCGGAGAACGCGGCGAAGAGCACGCTCAAGTATTTGCAAGGCATCGCGCATTGCAAGTGGGTCGTCAGCTACAAGTGGATCGAGGATTGCACTAGCGAGCGGCAGCTGTTACCTGAATCCCCTTACGAGGCCACCACGCAAAGCGCCGAGATCAATGGGCCCGGGCCTCGGAACTCGCGACTCAGCCGCAAGGGTCTCTTCGAGGACTTCACGTTCTTGTGCGTTGGTCCGTACGACAACGTTTCGCTAAGTCAATATCAGGTTGGTACTTGGGTTTTTGGGTATTTTCGCTCGGCCTTCTACGACAGAAGGTGAACGAAACGAGAAACGTGTTTGCGGGGGATTATCTTGAATAGAGCGCGTTTCTTTTCGCGGGCGAAACCTCTAATCACCGACTGACGCGTTGATTGCACAAAAACTGCTGATCGAATTGCAGTTATGGCAAAGAAATGTATCCTTTGTCTTCATGAGTTGCTTTGATTGCATAATCAATTTTTCTTACACTAAGAGAAAAATATTTAAAAAATAATAATTATTCATTTTGGTAGATATTAATAACATATTTACTTGAATCTAAATTCTTTTACTTAAATAGAATAAACAAGTGCTTTCATGAAACTAAAGTTTCCTTAAAGTATTAAGAAAATATGTATTTTCTTATTTGGAAAAAATATTTTATATTGATACAAACAAATTTCTCTGTCATTAGTACTCACCGAATAAGATTTATTGTTTGTTAGATATTTTTTTTCTCAGCGTAGATGCAATTAGTTACATTTTCTCGCATTGATTTTCGCCGATTGTACGGAATTACCGATTACGAATTGATCGATTATCAAATTACCAATAACACGATAAATAGATGTGATTCGAGACACGAATATCTGTCGCTCCATCTCATCAGCTCTTTATTGGCCATATAACTTTTTAAATGCAATTAATTTCTATTTTACACGTAAGTGAATGAGGCGCGATAATATCAGTGCCACGAGAGGTCAGACCAGAATTCTCAACGTGTTAAAACCGATTCGCTGTACGCGTGTTCCCAACGACGAGAATTTTTATTTACGTTCTCGTTCGCACAACCGTCGTCACTGCCGTCAGTTGTGGATCCAATTGGATTCAGGCCAAGCCATCTTAAGGAATACCTTCGGTTTTAGGATTTGTTACGCGCCACCGGAGCCACGGTGGTCAACTCTCTGCAGGCACTCGCCACCGAGAAGGGCTTGAGAGGTATCGTGATTCAGGGCGATCATCACGCAGAGAGCACGATCGGTAAGCGATAGTGATGTAGATGCGCGACGCGCCTTCGGAGAGAACGCGAATATCTGTGACATTTATCAAACCGCGACGTTGGTACTTGTCGATCGAACATACACCGCGGTTGAAGAATACGCGAAAGCAGCGAACGCAGCTAGATCAGAGGTGAGAAATCACGTTCCCCACTTTTGCCCGCAGAATCTTGGTACCGAGACGTTCGGGCACCGCCAATTCTTATCGACTGGATCGTGGAGTGTATCGGCCACTACAAACTCCTCCAGCTCATCCCCTACATTCAGACGCTGTCGCCACAGGATTACTACGCGTTAGGCTATCCACGGGAGATCGTCGGGGAGGAAGAGTACAGCGACATGTCCGCATAATTGACGCCAGTCGTCGGATTCGTTTCCGATCGCCGACTAGTCGTTCATTACTATCAGTTGAATTAACGAAATAATTGCAATTATTTTATTGGCGCATTGACTACGCCACTGGATCACATATATTTCGTTTAGCAGTTGTTATTTCGTCGATACGCGTCCACTGCGCGCAATTCATCGTTCCTTATTGTACGCCGTGACTGTATTAACGATGTCGTAATTTAAGTTTTGTAATTTCGTAATAAAGAGTTCTCTAATCAGGTTCCAGCAAAGACCGTCTAATCAAGAGTTCTTGTTTCTCCCTTCGCTGGAAGACCTCCCACTCTTCCTTTCAGTTTCAACGACTCTCGTCGCTCGAGATCGCGGTCCCGTCTAGCCCGACGTCATCGTCACGAGTTCGCCGTCCGTTCTGTGCGCGAGCGGTCGCCGTCCCCCTCTTACACACAGCTTTCCAATTTAGCCTTGAGGGATCCTCGAGACTGCGGTTAATGCCGCCGTGAGACGCGTCTCGAGATGTTTCGCGTTCCTCTACGGCAACCACACACGAAATCCATTCGGTTCACGATGACGTGAGTAGTCGACAGTGTTTCTGTCGTGCGATACCGTCATCGTCGCCGTCGTTCGTCGTCATTCGCCGAGATCGCAACGCTCGTTTGTCCGCGGGGAACGTCGGCGTTTCACTCGTATATATTCACCTAACACACGTACCATATTGATTTGCCCGGGACCACCTGTAGCCAAGTTCCTCTCTCGCGTTCTCTCTCCCTCTCTCTATCTCTCTCTCTTTCTCTTTCATTCGCTCGCGCGCCGCACGGTGGTTATGAATCCCGCCCCAATCGCGCGAGTGAGCTCGGGGAAACAATGGCTGCGTATTCTACACACACAGGCGTGCACGCGATACTCTTGATTTCGATATTAATATTGCAAAACGATACGCCGGAAGGTCAGAGTTCACGAAATTCGCGATTTTACAACGCTGACTCACCTATCCTCGCGAGCGTTACGCGAGCTGCATTATGCATTATGTATTGTCTAATTCGCAGATAACGCACATCTATAGCCGTGTAAATATTTCAGCATGATGTGTCAGATATACTTTTCGCGATAGAGATTATATTCCCGAGCACGAGCTGTCGGGCTTCGCGCGGCGCGGATGTCGCGGGATCATCGGCACGGGGTTTTTGCGCTCCGCTTTTACGCTCGTCACGAGCCGTGGTGTGCTGTTCGAGATTAAAGCGTTCATTCGCTCGACACATTTCCGTACATATGTTCCTCATGTATAGTCATGCCCACGGATTAACATTTTAGAACGGCGTGTTGCACTTGTTGTCGAGATACAGTCTTGTTCTGATAACCCTCGGCTGTATTTTTTTTCCCCCAGAACGATTTGTTTTTTCTCATCACGCGGGCAGGTGTGCCGAGCCCGACGGAAAGAGCGATAGTTCCGTAAGAAAATTCCTGCAGATGCGTTGTAATCGATTGCTCCAGATGATGTCTTGGAGGAAAGCCGTAATTTCATTATTGGAGGCTTGCAAAAGTATTGTGAGTTTTTAGTCATATTTTTGTTCTCAATAATAATTAAATAAGTGAATAAATAAATAAATAATATAAAGCAATACACGTTGTCTTCAATCGAAACATTCGCCATTTTATCTACTTTTTGAGTGATTTTCGAGCGATTGTCTGTATTCTGTGTTTGTAAAATAATTCTCAACAAAATTACTAATAATCTGACAAATTTCTACAAGTTTTTAATACGATAGAAGTATAATATCGCCGGAATAAATAATTATTGTGGCGAATAATCGTGAATGGCTACTGCTTGCTTGATGAATAATTTGTTTCCATTGAGTGCGATAAATCCAAAACTAAATATCCCAAATCTCATTGAAATTTTTAACTAAAACAATATATACTCTTTTAAATCGTTGAAATCGAACTTTTGCAAGCCTCTAATATTATCAGAGTAAATGTGTATTTCGTTCGGGATATTTATCATCGCGACAACGAAATATTTTGTCTGTTTCGCGAATATTATACGTTTGTTATTGAACGGTTTGCACACATTTTTTTTAATGAAGTTGCAGCTGTTCCAGCTGTCACAATTGAGGGATGTTACTGGCGTTTGTGTCATAATCGGTTATAATAGCGCTCGAAGTGACAGCACAAATATTTAATATTGGCCTTTATACTCTTATCTAAGAAATAAAAAGGTAATAAAAATATTTACGTTTCTCTTAAATTCTCCGTGGCAGTTATGACTTGTATCGTATGTTATTACTTCGACTCCTGTCATGACTGCACTGAGAGCAAAAATATCTTTAAAGTAAAAAATATTTATTCGGTGAGTACTAATAATACATATTTACTTATACCAATGCATTGATAATTTATTAGTAATTTATTTGTACCAATATATTTCTCAAATAAAGAAATATACATTTTCTTAAAACCTTAGCTTTTCACGAAAGCTATTGTTTATTCTTTTGTTTGAATAAGAGAATTCAGATTTAAGTAGATATGTTATTAGTACTCACTGAATAAATATTGTTTACTTCTATTTTTCTTCCAGAACGCGATTACTGCGCAAACACATCAGGAGTGTCTCGCAATTGTGACAATTTGAAACGCTGCAGCCTTATTGGGAAAAATGTGCACAAACCGTTTTGCAATCGAACATAAGAAATCCACGTCTGCATTCGCGCGTCGCATTGCGTCGCGCTGGAACGAACACGATGAATTTTGATCGAGACAAGTTATTTGGGATTTAGTCGTCTGTTTTGTAACATATTGAGATTCAATTATACCTTTTTCCCTATAACTTGCACACGCATACGCGCGCACACACACACACATACACACACACACACACATATCCTAGCCACATAACTTGGGACTGTTGAAGTTCACTATTGTGCGTGGTCTGGTATACCTATGTTTGCGAATTGTTCTCAATTGTGCGGAGCATCGAGGACTCCATTGTGTGTTCTCACGCGACGCCACTCGTCTGTGTGCGCCACGTCCATTTGTGTCGTCTGCAGACGGCAAAATAGTGGTACATTATCGCCTTTGAGCGGTTCCCCGTATTAAACTGAAAATCATTTTGACACGCGTACGGCCGATACATATACCCGCGCTCATTTATCGTATCCGCGCGTCGCATCGCGTTTAGAATCTCGCGTCGTGGATGAAATAGCAGTAGACGTGTTTAAGGTGCCGTTAAAACTATGTTAAAACCCCGAGTCCCTCGTATTATCACATCTCAAGAACGAAATTATACATTTCTTTTTTAAGGTAATTACCTTACGACAATATTGTCGAGTAATTTAGACACAATGAAAGGAAAGAGTCGAATAATTTTAGAGTTTAATATACAGGGTGCCTCAGATCTCAATGATGACTCTTTATGAGAACGTAGAACGGATTGAGGTCAGTAAGAAACGTGCCAATTTGCGATATTCGCAATAATAGTCAAGATAGTAATTAAAAAAGATGAATGATGAATGGTGAACGATCAGGCGTGATATGGTAGATGAGCTGCAGTGGCGCCGTCTGCCGTTGTATACTTATACATTAAGCCAAACTGAATAAAAAGCCTGTACGAAGTTAGCCCCCCACTTTTCGAATTTATTAATTTTGACAGTTGTGCTGATTTGTGCTAGGTTTGTGCTACATTGTGCTCGAATTATAAATTTTTAATACGAAAAATGAGCGAGAAAAATGGAAAAAACCGTTTTTTTTGGTAGCCCCCCACTTTTTGATTTTCGAAATTTTTTTTATTGTGCTAGGTTGTGCTAAGTTGTGCTAACATTGTGCTAAAGTATTATCTTCGAAAAATAATCATGAAAGGAATAAAACGAAAAAAACGATTTTAGGCAGAAAAGAAGAAAAGTAAGATTTATATTCGTATAAGTCAACCAAACAATATATAATTATATATCTGAGTTGCTCTAGGCTAGCA